CGTTTTACGTTTACGTTTAATTAATTTATTTTTAGTTTTTAGTTTAGTTAGTTGTAGTTAGTTGTTAGTTAGTTAGTTAGTATATTACTTACTTACTTACTCTCTCTCTCTCTCTCTCTCTCTCTCTCTCTCTCTCTCTCTCTTTCTCTCTCATTTCTCACTCTCAAATTCCTGACTTGTGCCTCGTTGTTCTTTTTCGTTTTTTCTTTTTTGTAATCTGCTCTCATGGAGTAGAACAGTTAATCACTTCAAAAAAAAATTAGAAAAAAGAAAAAAATCTGCTCTCGTGTAGTATCACCAAAACCTTATAAATGTCATATGACGCATCAAACATTAGAATTTAAGCATGATACATCGATAAATTTGGTTCTATATTATCAGATCTGTAATAAACTGATTTTCACCATCTTGTAAAGCAAAGGATTTGATGCTAAGGTTTTTAAGTGAATTCAGCTTGGCTAGTGTGATGCAATAGTGCTTGAGGTGATAATTTTGTACTAGGAAGTAATCTAACGAAAATTTGATTTTCATAAGTACAATCTTATTAGAAGGCCCCCTGTAATTAAGGTTTGAGACTGTACAATGTGTTGCTGGGCACATTGTAGAGATAAACCTAAAGCAATGCTTTGATGCTTGGAGGTCACAATCACTCTTAGTCATTGGATGTGGAATCTGACAAATTTATAGCACAACATTCAAGAAACTTTATTTTGGACCGTTTTGCTTAGTCAATGAGACATCCTCAACTACCTGATTTTACATCTATTCATCAATAATGATTGTGCACTCCTTATAACCAAAGTAAATGGTCTTATTATGTAATTTTTTATATTATGTACTGATGAATAAAAAAGTGGAAGAAAAGAAAAAACTGCCTATGTGAATCAATTGTGACCATTATATGCAAAGTTATCATTCTGGTTTTTTGAGTGAACATTTCGTTACAATCCTTGATGCAATCTTGGTTGAGTATCTGATGAATGACTCGAGCGTTATAGCATTATTGGCACACCATTTTTGTTGAATTCCAAATTGTTGATTTAGGAGATGCCTAAAATTTTCTTATATGTAGAATGAGACATTAAATCTTAAACTTGGTCTTGATCTGGGGTTAGTGGTTTCCTCATTGTGTGTTGCACACAAGCAGGAAATAAGAGAAGCGACGGACGTTTCATACTAGGAGGGGGGGTAAAAAAGGAGACAGGCTAATGAGAAACTAAAAGATAAGCATGAGCGCAAAATGAACCAGGAAATGTGCTATTGTTGGAAGAGGGGCTGGAAAATGGAGGCCTGAAGTCAACTCTGTTTTTCTATCAGAGGAGTCATAGAGAGGCATCAGTGTGGTTGAAAACATATAGAAAAAATTAGATTATCAGGGGCTTAAAATGTAGCTGCTTGCTGTGAATCCGAACCTGAGAAGGTGCCATCACATGGAATATATGGTCTTGGGACATAATTGGTATTCCTCGAGAGTGATCCCTAAAGGAGTTCCCTGTGGATTGAAACTAAATAGTCAATGAAAGTAACATGCTGATACAATCTTGTTTGCCAAGCTTCAGGACCACAACCTACCCTTTGTCATGGTATTGAGTTCCATAAACCACAATACACATTGAACAAGTCTATTAATCTAGTGAAATGTTTGCTTGCATATACAAACGTGATTGTGAATACCACTTGGATTGCGACTAATCAGAGCTCAACTGGAGAAATTCACCATAGAAATGACCTGTCCTTCACATAACTTTGCAGTATTCACATCTTTAGCATTGAGACTTAAGCTGAAATGTGGCGGATGCAAGGAATTCTCCTGCTCCTTACTATTGAGTAGTAGGGAGCCATGACTAAATTCTTCAACAATTAGGTGGAATTTGTCTGATATGGACTCTTAACATGAATCCCTTTTATATAGTATGACGTTGGATCATTAAAAGCCAGAAAGTCTGCTTTTTCTTAGTTTGCTCTGATACAACCTTGGTCCATGTCTAACTATAGACTAGTGTGTTTATGAAAGGCATCCAAATAGATGCTTCCTTTGGATTCCACATGTATAACAGTCCTTAATGAGTATAGCCAGTAGAAATGGAAGTTAGCAAAACTGGTAAACCCTTTTTTGTGTCCATAAATCGACCACAAGGACTACTTTTTTCTTCTGGGGATTCTTGTTATGGATGACTTGGAAATGAACTGGAGCTCTATTGTTATGATAATCAAAGGCACGGAAAGTGTTTTTTTTGATGAATCAAAGGCACAGTAAGTTACTTGGCCAAAAAAAGACATGGTTCCTGAATGTCCCTTCCCACTTGATGTTGCCATTCATGCCACATGCATATTGCCTTGGAAATGTAAGGAGCACTTAGCCATTAGTAGGTGGTAGGATGGAGCAAATATCTAGATAGAGCTGTGAATTCAATTTATAGTCCTTCCTGTGCTGGTGGTCTACACATTACTCTTCCATGAATGAACCTAAAGTAGTAAACCAACACTACAACTTTTCTCTTGACTGACCAATGGATTTGAATTCATTGAGGATTTGGACATATTAGCTATGTTTCAAGAATGTGACGATTAATAACAGAACTAATCGAAATGATAAACAATTTGGAATTTTGAAATGCCATCCATAGTGAGAGGACTAGAAATTCCAGAAGCAGCTCGTGTCAGAATTGCGTTACTGGTTCTCTAGACCAGGTTCTAGGGAATCTAACAAAAAAGCTGAGAATGGGAAGAAGTAAGGGTTATGCCTGAAAGATTGGAAGGTAGTGTTTAATGAATAGTTACCATCGCTTCCTTGGAGTCGTGATTGCTTGTGTTCTGTGGCAGTTTTCTATGTTGGCATAGAGGTGTCTTCGACTTCTGAGAGGAATTGCCTCTTCGTAATTAGTTGCATACTTAGCTATTCAGTTACTTCCGAGGTTGTCTAGTGTTTTTTTTGCAATTCTACAAAAACAAGATAACTTGATTTACCCAAAAAAAAGGAAAAAAAGAAAGAAAATAGCTTTCTATTTGTTGCATCTCACAAAATCCAAGGGTGAATAAGATGAGGGACATCTGAATAAATCTTTGAAAAAACAAGATACAACAAGTTTCTCGGAAACACTAGTATCTAAAGGTTTTATAGAAGTTACTAAAATCGTGAAGAGTCATTTTCTTTTTGTTTGTTCTTACTATCTGATGACCTTAAGAATCATAAACATTGATTTTAGGGCTTAAATGTTTTGAGAAATCCAGTCAGTTGACTTAGGAAAGTTTTTTATTTGCAATATTACTACCCTTGCTTTAGATTTTTGGGAGGCAATCACCCAAATTCTTAGACTCAATGAAGATATTTTATAGTTGGCCCTAATTTTTGAGAGCAGCTAAGCTCATTCATAATTTGAAATAAAATCAACAATATGGAGTCTTAGTTATGGAAACAATTCAAGGGGTGTTTTTGAATTTTGAGAAATTGTTGCACGCTGGTGAGAAACTGCTGTTCATGGGGTGTTTTTTAAATTTTGAGAAATTGTTGCATGCTTGTTCATGAATAGTGCAATTAACTTAGTGTTGACATCCCAACTATTGACCGAGTATCTGCTGCTTCCGCTCCGAGTTGTTGAGGAAAGATCCTGAGGGGAGGCTGCGGAAGTGCGCATTACTATGCATTAAAATAACTGGAGAAATACCTCAGGGGAATGCAGTTCCGAAGTTTCTTAAGATTTTTTAATGGACTCACGATGTGGTCCATCAACAAACAAAGCTGAATGAAGGTTTCAAATCTTTCATGATAACAACATTGAGATGCACTCACGCTTGTGTAAATTCATTCCCATTTGAGCACCTCAACACCCTATCATCTTGCATGCTTGTGATAATTAGCTATAACAACCCCATGCTTTTGCTTGCCTTCATACCATAATCTCTTTTGCATCTCCATGTAGAAAAGGATTAAAAGGCCTGAACTCTTGAAATTTCTTTATGTTAGTTTCGTTAACTTCTGTTTTGTATATCTTGTGCCTCAAATTTATTTTCCAAGTTATAATTTAAAGTTTTGTAGTTGTTTCTGTTCTCCTTTTCAACATGCATGTGCAATTAGTTATGCTAAAAATGATTTGCCTAGGAAATTGGAAAGAGTTGCTGACATTTGTGTTTCACAGCCGAAAAATGCAGGCAGCTTGTGGGGGATGAATCCTCATCTCAGAGTGGGAAGTTCACATTATTGAATTGCTTTGATATGGGATCAGGATCCCTAGCATGTTCTGTAAAAGAGGGTGTTAAACTCTATATTTACAATATCAGGGCCGCTCATGTCGAAAAAGTAAGGCAAAAGGCGATCGAGATGGCATTAAGTGAGGCCTTATCTCAAGGGCTGAGTGTTAGTGCAGCAACAAAGCAAGCTCAACAAGCTGGGGCAAAGGCAGCAAAACTAGCAACTCGAAAGGCCAAACGCATTATAGGTCCTATCATTTCTTCAGGTTGGGACTTCTTTGAAGCCATTTATTATGGAGGAACCATGACTGAGGGTTTCCTTAGAGGAACCGGCACTTTGTTTGGGGCTTACATGGGTGGCTTTCAAGGGGAACAAAAACTTGGGAGGGTCGGTTATCTTATTGGGAGTCATTTGGGAAGTTGGGTTGGAGGGAGGATTGGGCTCATGGTTTATGATGTTGTTAATGGGGTTCATTATTTGCTACAATTTGTCAGGACAGAAGAAGATGCAGGTTATGAAGCATCGCCATACGAGGGTTCTGAGAATTATGGGGATTCTTATGACCTATAGTATATTAGGAATTGTCATTGGAAACATTTACTTAAAGCAAATCTTTGTGATCATATCCTTTCATGAATTATATAGTTCAATACTTAATGCTGTATTGCTTCTTGTAAATAGTTGTATGGCTTTGTAAAAGGCCAGATTCCTTAATGCTGAAATCAGAGAGGGTCCTGAAAGTTGAACACCTGAAAATGGGAGAAGAAAATGCTCTCCATGCGTCAGTAGACAAGCTTTTCTTTGTGGAAATATGTTTTGTCATAATGCAAAAACATGATACACACTTGTTCCATTTGAATGAATAACAATGGTTTGGCAGTTTCTATTTTCATCGTCTACAAAAAAGATTAGGATTTTCCGCCAGGAAAAGTATGGCATGGATATGATGTGTATGCTAGAAAGTAAACAGGCAAGGCATCTTCCACGAGTTTTCAATTGGTTGAGGTGATTATACCGCTGATTAGGCTTCGACTCACCAGGGTCCGATACCGATTCACCAGTCCGGACTTGGGGGTTCCCGACTTAAGTTGGGCTATATATAAACATATTATTAACAGAGCAAAAAATGGGAAGAATTAGGGCGATTTTATGGTTTCTTGAACCAGAAACGCTCTGCTCCTGCTTCACGACATTATGGCTCTTGGGTGACTTTGGTCCTTGATGGAAATCTTGGTCATCCGTTTTCAGTAATTTGGGGAAAAAAATGTTGGGGGCATCACTTGCTTTACCACTTAAGTTATCTATTGATAAGGGTATCCATAAACCATGCCACAATGCCGTCTCCATTTACTTTTTCATACTAGTGCATTTCACTGAATTTTAGTTCTGGATTATGCAAACTCTTACTAAAAGAGGTTCCTTATATTCAAGATAATAAAACAAATATTGTAACACTTTTCTTTTCAAGATACAATCATTTATTTCTCCGGAGCAAATATTATCATTTGATTGTTGTTGGGTAGGAATGTTCAGAGATGTCTTGATTTTTAGGTAGGTATTAATCATACATTGTAATATAGCTAACTTTTCAATAATATAATAGTTTACCTTCTTTCAACTATTCCAATTCATTGTCAATGTGTATTTTGATGGGTATTATGAAATAAACTAAAAAATATTGCTAAAATGTTAGATGGTTGATATCTTATGTCCATCTTGGTAAATTCCTCCGTATCTATAGGCAACCCATGGAAATCTATGTCAAACCAAAAGTAAGAACGTCTTGTGAAGAAATTATTTTAAATTTTGCATACGATTGGTTATGATAGGAAATTTGTGCAGTGAAACAAGAAGAACAATCTACGATTTCCCCAAACACAAAAGATAACCAAAACAATGAGTCAAAATACCAAGAAAAAAATCTATTATTTTGACTCATTGCCTAATTTCACAGTCAATGGTCAAAATTAATGTCTAATTTCACAATGCTCGAAATTAATTGTGAATACCCTTTACCGAGCCTTTCTTTTAATTTTTTTTTTTGGTAGAACTTAAAATTCTAAAGCATTTAGATAGCGTGCTCCCTCAGGAGCATACTGTAAACTTCAATGGAGTGGAAATTCAGTATAGAAAAATGAGAAACGTGGAGACGAAGAGACACATGTTTCTCATTTTAAGTTCCATTTCTTGCTCTAATAAGTCCAACAACAAGTGGCCTCGTGCTTCTCACTAAGTCTAAGGTGTCCTTTCTCTGTCTAGACTCGGGTTTAAAACCCATGTTTAGGGGGAGAAAATATCAAAGAAATTATCTGGTGTTGGTAAGGCTCATCTCTACCATACATTCTCTCTCCTCTCTGATATGTTAAGTAGAATCTCTTTCCTTATGTCAATGTACTTTTCTCTCCTCTCTCCTCTCTCATAGGTTATGAAGGCATCTCTTTCCATGTCTGCATAACTTTCGATCCTCTTTCACTGCTCCTAAAAAAAAGTGCAATGAAAATAAGGGGCTGAGGGCGTTTACTGAGTAGTATATTCCCTTTCTTAAGTGTATAGAATGATAGCTCAAAGAGTATGTCGCCTGTCTCTTAGGACCCATGTTTTTTCTTTAAATCAACAACCTTCTCTTTCTCTCTCTACTTTCAGATGGTCTCTTAAAACCAGTAAATCAATCGGCTTTTATGGAAATTGGGGAATTTCATTGAGAAAAGGTGCAAAACCCGTGAACCCAATGAGTTGCAGGCTTCATAGGCTTGCGCCAGCTGCTGCTTTTGAAGATGGGGGAGGAGGACCAAATGGGTCAGTGAATTCTTCACCTGATGATGGTGAGTAACCAGTCTTTACCTTTGTGAAGTTTCTCAATTCACTCCATTAAGAAAGGGTTTTTCAGTTCATTTGGAAGATAGGTTTTGTGGGTATTCATATATAACGCCTGGTTCTTGTTGGATGTTGGTTTATTGATCTTTCCTGATGATTTGGAGGTTTCACATCAACAAACTGAGATTGAAATTTCGCGTCTGTGTTAACTTTTGACGTTGGGGTTCTCATGAAAAATCGCCATGCTGTAAAATTTTGGCTGAGTATTTGCTTTTGTGCGTCAATTGCGGGTATTGTTTTAGATTTTGGTTGTTGAAGAGTAGAGGGAGTCTGATTACTTTGAAAGGTCGGGAAATTACTACACACTCCCTCTCTCTCTCTATCACTCTCTTTGAGATAGTTGGGCTGTAGGTTCGTTCCTAGATGTGGATTCCCTATATACGCCCTTTTCTTGTGACGGAGAATCTGATGTTCTTGTTTGATGGAGAAGTTGCAGGGATTATTCTAGTCCTGTAATTTGAAATAAGATTATCTTCTAGTGTCAGTCATGCTTCGAAACTGATGTATCTAAAGACTTCTGGAAGAATGTCATCATTCTATCCTAGTGATGTATTTTCATCATGACTGATATTTAATTTGACTGCCAAAAACTTATAATTGACTCTCGGGCGTGCCATTTTCTTCATAGTTTGTTACAAACTAGAAACTGTTAGAAAAGCACCATCTTCTATGGTTTTGTTATGAACTGATCCTCCACTGATGGTTATATTCAGATTGTATTCTTAGTTGCTAGTACTATAATGCATACATCCTACATATGTAGCATTACTTTGGAGTTGCCTTACCGAAAATCTATATTGCTTTAATAGCTTACAAAAATTGCACGAAAATATGTATTTAATTGTTCCATTTGTAATTCAAAATCTTTATATGTTTTCTCACAATCACTAGCTTTGTAGAATTCAAGGTTCCTACATGTTGAATTCTTGGCATCAATCGTGGCTACTTTTGTCATCTCTATTTGTTAGACCGATGCTAGACTTTTGTTCTCATCGCATAGATGCTTGCACCAATTTTTCTGCATATTCAGTTTAATTTTGCTTTAACTCGAATTCATATGGGATGGCTCATAATGGAAGACATTTCTCCTTAATAAGCTGGGGAATGACCCACTGTTGCTTTACCATCTCGCCTTTTATCACAGTAACATATAACAATTTTTTACCATATGCAATAGGGGGCTGGATATGGTAATTGGCTTGGACATAGTTCCCTGTTGTAAAGAAATAAATCAACGAATTATATGTGAGGATTCGTCTTTTTTCTGTTCCCTGTTTATAGTTTCTATACTTCCTCCAATAATAATGTTCTTATAATATCTCAGGAGAATCTTCATTGGATGGTGGCTACCAGCTTCCTCCACCTGATATCAGATGCATAGTTGATTCACCCCCACTACCTGCACTGTCATTTTCACCCAAGCGAGATAAGATGCTATTCCTTAAGCGAAGGGCTTTACCCCCATTGGCTGACCTTGCAAGACCAGAGGAAAAACTTGCAGGGATACGCATTGATGGGAATTGTAATACGAGGAGTCGTATGTGAGTATTAATAAGAATTCTTTTTTGTTGATGTAACTTATGCTTCATCGATTATGAGACCTTTGTGAGATGAAGTTTAAAAAGATCTTTTCATGTAGCCTTCCAATTGTATTGTACTTTTCAATGCTTATTTCAGGTCATTCCACACTGGTATTGGAATCCATTCTTTAATGGATGATGGTACTCTAGGACCAGAGAAAGCGGTTCATGGCTTTCCTGACGGTGCAAAACTCAACTTTGTAAGCTGGTAAATCTCTTCCATCCATGGTTCATAGATGGCAGATACATTTCAAGAAGTTCCTTCTCAACTTGGATGTCTAAAAGTCCCTTAACCTTCTTGTCTACGTTGCATTTTTTCTGTGATTGGAGCTATTGGATTTTCTTGTGACATTTCACCTTAAACTTTCATTTTGAGTCTGTAGATAAAAAATGCAGTTAACTGTGTGTAATACTTTCATAAATGGGTGTCTACTAGATATTAATTTGGATCTTGTGTGTTTTGATATACAAAAATAAGGGAAAGTATGGCATAGCCCAATGGACCATGGAAAACTATAATCAATTGGGTTCTCTCCATTGAAATGGTGGACGGTGATGAAAGAGAGTGGGGCCCTCCATTATCACAATATCCTTTTCTGGTGGGTCCTGCCCTCTCTACCTTACCCTCTGCCATTCCATTGGATGGTTAGGACCCCAATGGTTCATGGTTTTCCAAAAGCTATAGGACTATAATATAGTTAACTATAACGTAATGCAGGTGTCCTATTCATGCAAATGTAATATAGTTAAGAAACCCTTCATAGTCTCTTTCTAATATTCCTCTTCTCATCTAGGTCACGTGATGGCCAGCATCTGTCCTTCACCATTCGATGTGATGAGGTGATCCAATTATCTTTAAAATGAACAAGTGCATGCCATATTTTTATGTGTACATTACTTGGTCCTGATATTGGGTGTTTTTTTTTATCCAGGGAGACAATGGGGATAATGGCAGCAGCAAATTGGATGTGTGGGTTGCGGATGTAGAAACTGGAAAGGCCAGGCCCTTGTTTCAGTCACCTGACATTCACCTGAATGCAATATTTGACAAGTATGTATGTGCATACTTGAAATATTTTAGGGTAAAATATCAGTACATTACTTGGACTTGCCACCAAGCCAAAAAAACAAACTATTTTTTTCATATTGGGTTTAAGATTTGGGGCAATCATATTCAGTCATTTAAAAGAATCAACGGGTACTGTTGTGATATTTTAAGTTTATAGACCACCTGCATGACTGCCTGCATGATATGTATAGGTGTTCTAGGTATTTCCTGATATTTTCTCAATGGCTTTGTGTATGCTATTGAGTCAAACATTTTTGTAAATGTTAAATTTAGCGAAATTTATCAATCTTATTTTCTGGTTTGTTTTTTGTACAGCTTTGTTTGGGTTAATGATTCCACATTACTTGTTTGCACTATCCCTCGTTCACGTGGAGCAACTCCGAAGAAGCCACTGGTTCCACCTGGGCCAAAAATTCAGTCTAATGAGCAAAAGGATGTAGTCCAAGTTAGAACTTATCAGGATTTGTTGAAAGATGAATATGATGAAATTTTATTGGATTACTATGCGACCTCCCAATTGATGCTAGCTTCCTTGGATGGAACACATAAAGAGATTGGTCCTCCAGCTGTTTACACATCAATTGATCCCTCACCAGATAAAAAATATTTAATGATATCCTCCATTCACAGGCCTTACTCATATATTGTACCTTGTGGAAGGTTTCCCAAAAAGGTTGATCTATGGACTGCTGACGGAAAATTTGTTAGAGAAATGTGTGATTTACCTCTTGCAGAAGATATACCTATAGCTTTCAATAGTGTACGGAGAGGAATGCGTTCCATCAATTGGCGGCCAGATAAACCTTCAACGCTTTATTGGTGAGACTGTTATTTCTTTTCTGATAGTTTGTATTAGGATCTCCACCTTAGAGATATTCTCTTTACCCCCAAATTTTACACGAGCATCTAAGACGTTAGTAAATACTAATAATGAAGAATGTATTCAATGAGCACGGAGAAGGAGTTGCAGGAAACTTCACATTATCCCAGGGTCCCAGCCATCCATTGTCAATAGGGGATGGCTGGGGTATGTTGTTCCTCTGCTCAGACTCTGAACGCCGTAATGACACACCCGAGCCATCCCTTGTTCAAATCTGATAGCTGGGTAATGTGGAGTTTCATGGAGAACCTTTGCTGCTCTCACCGTCTATGAATTTCCAATAGTAATAATAACCAAACAGGTTCTAGAAGGAGTTAATATAAACTTTTCAATGTTAAAAGAGAGAGTTCAAATTTTCAGATAAGCAGGAAGAACTTTTATATGGTTAATGATGGCACACAAAGGGTGCTGTGCATTTTATCTCGGACGTTTGTTTTTACTGCTACATCTGAATTTTGATTGGTCTGGCAAATAATACACTGTTGATTTCTTATTCTTTTTTTAACACTTGAAATATTTCCAGGGTAGAAACACAAGATGGTGGAGATGCAAAGGTAGAAGTTTCTCCACGTGATATAATTTATACACAATCTGCGGAGCCACAAGAAGAAGAAAAGCCTGAAATTCTTCATAAACTTGATCTTCGCTATGGGTATGTTTATTAGCACATTATGTTGTAGTTGGTAAATTGATGATGCTTAATATTTTGTTCTTCTGTAGTTAATTCTCTGTTGGATACTTTCAATAAATTTGTTATTTTGTAGTAATTATTTGTTAGATTCAAAAGACATGCTTATTTGTGGTTAGAATCGTCAAAAACATCTGTGCTTTTTAAATTCTTTTTGTTACTTGTCCATGATTCATTTTCTACAATAGAAAATTGTACCATTGTCGTCTCTCATGTTGAATTCTTCAAATCTTTTATCTTAAATTTCTTATGCCTTACTGTTGGTCCCTCCAATGCCAGAAACTGTGAATGTATATGAATGCTATGCTGCTCATAGTTATGTCACTGTCAATCAGTTGGAAATTGTTTCTAGCCCTATAAATTGTTTGGCATCCTTTCTTCTGTTACAACTCTTCATTGATCTTTCTCTATTGTGCTTGCAGTGGTATCTCATGGGGTGATGTTTCCTTGGCCCTAGTTTATGAGTCCTGGTACAAAACACGCAAGACACGAACATGGGTTATATCCCCAGGCAATAAAGAAGTCAGTCCACGTATACTATTCGATAGGTCATCTGAAGATGTTTATTCCGACCCTGGTTCTCCAATGCTTAGAAGGACCTCTTCTGGAACCTATGTTATTGCAAAGATAAAAAAGAAAGAAGAAGGCACATATATATTACTGAATGGTAGCGGGGCTACACCAGAAGGAAATATTCCATTTCTTGATTTGTTTGAGATGTAGGCCTTTCCAAGTATTCTTATTTTTCTTCTTTCCTTTGGGCAATGAAACATTTTGTTAAAAGAACCAGCATGTACATGCATGCTTAAATGTTTTTGTACACATACACATGCATCCAAATATATGTGTGGACATGTGCTTGTGTACGTTAAAATCACTCTCTTACAAAGTGTACTAAATCAAATGGACCACTGGTCTGTATAATATCTCATCTGTTCGATCTAGCCATTGGGACCATCACTGTCCAATGAATTGATGGCCTGCGATGGATTGTGAGTGGTACTGACCAGAATAGGAAGTGACTGCAAATGTGGGTCCCACTCTTTCTCCCCTTCCACCCATCATTTCCTCAGATGTTAATGCCCCCTAGGGAGAATGGTTCCTCTGTAGCCCATTGGAAATTTGGAATGTAGTGACTGTGACACTATAGTAGTGCACTTTCCCTTTTGGCATTGCTCTTCATTAAGCCATTCTGTTTTTATTTGTTTCCAGAACCACCGGTGCAAAAGAACGCATATGGGAAAGTGACAAGGAGAAGTACTATGAAACTGTTGTTGCTTTGATGTCTGATCAACCTGATGGTGATCTCGATCTTGATCAGCTTAAAATTCTGACCTCGAAGGAGTCAAAAACAGAAAACCCTCAGTATTACCTGGAGTGCTTGCCTAATAAAGAAGTCAAAATCACAAATTTTCCCCATCCATATCCTCAGCTTTCTAATCTACAAAAAGAGATGATCAGATATCAGCGTAAAGATGGCGTTCAACTTACTGCTACTCTATATCTGCCTCCAAATTATAATCCCTCAAAGGATGGGACACTTCCATGTCTGATATGGTCTTATCCTGGAGAATTTAAGAGTAAAGATGCAGCTGGACAAGTTCGTGGTTCTCCAAATGAATTTGCAGGGATAGGCCCAACATCGCCCCTTCTGTGGTTAGCTAGAGGGTATGTTATCTGATCCCCCTTTTCCAGATCCCTTCTTGTTTATTAGAAAATAATTGAATATCAAGGCAGCAGAGACTCTGACGAGGTTAATGCTTGGGAACTTGTAATTTCCCTGCAAATTATGAAAGTATTTACTCTTTTGCCATTATTTAATGAAGTCAATAAACAAAACCAATGTCATCCCTTCTCTTGTTTCCAAGAAAGGATGTTAGTTGTGCCTTCTCTTCCAGGATGCATTTTATTTGTTAGCAAATAATTGAGCGGTAATACTGTAAATATTTTGATCCTATTCGTATGTGGATTTTCCATGCAAATTATGGAAGTGCTTATCTTTTGCCATTAGAGAATGGACATCTTGAATTTCAACTTTGACGTTAAAGGCTTAGCTACTATCATTTAATTATTTCAATTGCCATATAATCCATTTTACTTGATTTAGCTGTAATTTCCTTCTCTGCTCATAGCTCATTTTCCAGTGGCATTCTTTTAACTGATTCTGGAAGAATTTAAGGACCACTTGCTATGCAGGTTTGCTATCTTATCTGGACCCACAATACCAATAATTGGAGAGGGTGATGAAGAGGCAAATGACAGGTATTGCTAAAACCTTTTGGATTTTTTCCTATGGGGTTAACAATACATGTATTTTGAAGAAACTCTTCTTTTGTGTTACTCAAAAAAATTACGTTATTGTTTTGGAGAAACTCAATGATATTAGGACGATCAACGTTATAATTGGCATCAATTTTAGTGGCTATTGATGTTGTATTTCTACCATCTTCTGCTTTTAGCTGTGATGTGAGGCTTGATTTTGTGAGACCCTCTTTGAAGTTGCTTTGTGAGGGATTGAATTGATGGTTATTTTTAGTCTTTGTTTGAAGTGAGATTTCGATTTCTCAAAAAATACGCTTCCTATGTGGGATAGGTAGACAATGATGTAGGAGTCTTCCAGTTCACAACAGGGATAAAAAAAACATTTTTGATTGGTACAGTTGTTTTTAAACAGGTATGTAGAACAACTGGTTGCCAGTGCAGAGGCCGCAGTTAATGAAGTTATACGCCGAGGGGTAAACTTGTGATAAACTTGATTATATTAAAGGGAAGTATACTATAATGGGCTATAAAGAGACATGTCCATTGGGGTTGTCATCATCTGACGGAATGATGGACGGTGATGTTGAGACAGTAGGACCATCATTGGTGGGAATGTCCTGTTCTGATGGGTTGTCCTCTCTCTCTCTCTATTAGTGTCTATCACTTTCAATGGATGGTGATGAACCCAATGAACTAGGGGTTTTGTAGTCCATCATATTGTAGTATAATTTTCCTTAGTTCTATAATTTTCCTTTGTTCAATAATGGATATCATGTTCCCATATGCGTTTAGAGTTTACTTTTTTGTATTACATGTGCAGGTGGCACATCCCAATAAAATAGCAGTTGGAGGTCATTCTTATGGTGCATTCATGACTGCCAACCTACTAGCCCATGCTCCTCACCTCTTTAGCTGTGGGATTGCTCGCTCTGGTGCCTATAATAGAACACTCACTCCTTTTGGTTTTCAGGTAAAATATGGTCTCTCCTCCCCCCCCCCCCCTTCCTCCCTCCCCCCAAAACGAACTTTTGTGTGCAAACTTACAGTTAGATAGGATATATTGCAAACATCACCAAACTGCTGGTTCTCTGTTCATGTTTGTTAAAAAACCCACACTATTGTCTCTGTAGAATGAAGAGAGAACCCTTTGGGAAGCGACAAATATATATGTTGAAATGAGCCCCTTCATTGCTGCAAATAAAATCAAGAAGCCTATTCTATTAATCCATGGAGAGGAAGACAACAACCCAGGGACGCTCACAATGCAGGTTAGCCAGCATTTACGAGTACCATGTCATCACTTTCAAATTAATATGCAGATATAGTTTGACATTTCTCTGTTTTTGTCACATTACGTCCCTCTACATTTTCATATTTCTCTATTGTTTTATTTTGCTCCCTTTCTCTCTCTCTCTCTCTCTCTCTCTCCTCCCCCCCCCCTGTGTGTGTTTGGGGGGGGTGCGTGGTTGCTTGCGTGTGTGTGTGTGCTCGGATCTTCTGCACCATTGGTTTATGCTATACTCTCCCGTCCTTATTATAGAAAAAGTATATTTGGAGTTTGTGTCGAGTGGTGGCAACCATATATTTGGTCTGTTCTAACGAACTTCTTTGAGGAAATTACTTTTTAATTGGCCAACCATATTGTTTGTGCTTTTTAACTTTCGAAATTACTTTTTAATTGGCCAACCATATCGTTTGTGCTTTTTATCTTTCAACCATACAACAGTCATTTGATTCTTAAAAACATTGGAGACTGCTGACTTATTTTTGCCATTCTATTGGACACTGTAGTCGGATCGCTTTTTCAATGCTCTAAAAGGGCATGGGGCCTTATGCCGGCTCGTGGTTCTCCCCTTTGAGAGTCATGGTTATAGTGCCAGAGAGAGCATCATGCATGTCCTTTGGGAAACTGACAGATGGCTTCAAAAGTTCTGCATAAATGCTCCTGATACTGTTTCGGATATCAATACTTCTAAAGTTGATGAAAGCCAAAAGGTTGATGATTCTGAAGTTGAAGTGGTTTCAGCAACTGGAGGAGGCGAGTCAGAGACAGCAGGACTAGCACACGAGGTCCTCAATTTGTTACGGAGGTCATTTTTGTGATAATTTCCCATCTGATTATTTTCAACTCTGTTAATACATAACATGTTAACCTGCTTATTCAGAATATACCAAATGGGGTGTTATCTAGTTTGCAGCAGGGAATTATTGGATGTATTACAATTTCAAATAAAAAGATTTAGATGGCCTATATAGTGATATGTATAGTCTTGATGAGGATCTTTGATCAT